TGAAAGGGATCAAAGAACAGAAGGAGAGAACGTGAAGACTGTTGAAAGGGCTCGAAGGAATTTGTTTTTTTTTGGCTATAAACGATTAGTTACTAATATACTTATGGCCACCTGCCTCAATGTCAATAAGGTAAGAAACATGTATACCAATTTTTTTGCCTTTTACTTCAAATAAATCAGTTATTTTAAAAGTATTACATTCAAAGACTTGAGTTACTAACTTTGTTTGTAATCACTCCTGAATCTAGCTTAACTTTTTCTTTGTTGAAAGACTATAAATCTAATGTTTTCATTTTTTCTAAAAGAACAATTTGAAACTAAACACTTGCTAACACGATTAAAATACTTTTAAAATTGAAAGGAGATGGTTCAAAAATAGCTAGAATGAAAGAATACGACTGAGTAATTAGAATCTTGGATGATGATGGTGTCAGTTTAAAAATAAGTTACTATACAAATAATAAAATCACCGGATTTACTTACCAAATCCCAAAATTTGTATAACAAGACGATCAAAACATTTTTCTAAAAATACTAATTAAATCATTATTCAATCATATTAGAAAAAAATATAAGAAGACAATCCCGCGTGTATACATGGGTGTTCAACTAGTAAGCCTAATTATCTAACTACTAGAATCATATAATTTATACACATCTCTAAAAAAATTATATGATTAGGTGTACACCGACAAATTTTGGCTAGAATCTAGTCTTGGACGTTTTATTTTGATGTTTAAATTTCATTTCTATTTCTCTTTTTTGTATAATGAATTTTTCGTTTTTTTTTTTGTGTATTTCAAGTGCATGACTAGAAGATCTAATACAAAACTAATCGAGCCCGAACAAGAGATAGACAAACTTGAAAGATCTCTTAAATACAGAAACAACAACAAAGGATAGAAAATTAAATCAATGAAGAAGAAAAAGAATTGCTGATCAACCTTCCCAAGACGACATTCATTTGCCTCCTCCATTGGGTGGTGTTCTGAACTCTCAAATGTGTATAGATGATTAACACTGAACTCTCATATTCAAGTTACGTTTTGTTTTTAATTTGCAACCACATGTTTCTTTTCTTTTTTAATAAAAACCACATGTGTTGTGAGGAAAATATATGTTTGAACTCACAAGTATACTCTCTCAAAATTCTAGTTTTACAAGATATATATGTGTGTGTGTGATAAACGGTAATATGTGCATGTTTACAAAATATGATCACCTTTGTAGTACGTAACATATATATGAGAAACTCAACATATCTCGAAATTGACACAGCCGAGTTAAAAGAAATTTATGTCAAGGATGGGAACTTCAGTATTTGTTTCTGAAGCTATAGATAACCATATTTGCGGCTGGCTGCACATGTACAGAATTTTATGCGAATACAAATATCTGAGATACTACTACAACTACCACAAGATTTAATTAATATTTACAAACATATTAGTTTGTGACCGATCGAGTTCCATTTATTTTTATACCTATATTTTTTCTCTCATCTCTTACTCTTAATTGTGTCTCTAAGAAGTGGGAAGCAATGGCAAATCAACCTCATCACACCACTCCACACATCTAGTCTCATAAAACAAAGTGTTCAAAGTTAACCAAATTTTGCCACCCATTCTCCATTTCAACACGCTTCCTTCCATCTCTCTCCCAACTCTCCATCCAACTTCATCTCCATACTCATCCCTTCCAAAAACCAACCCTCCACTCTTCGTAAACAAATTCTTATAACTCTCATGATTCGGCTTCACCATTGTCACTTCTTGGCCGCTTTCTCTATCGTACAACACCGCATTGAAAACCGCAGCTTTTCCTTCGCTTTCTTGCTCGATTCTCCAATCCTTAATCTTCCTCCTCGTCGACATTCTTGCTCTTGCCTTCACTCTCGGAGCCACTTTCCCTTTCCCGAAATTTCCCTTTAGCACCCTTGTCACCTCTATCTCTCTCTCCTCGTTCTTTGTTGACCGTCCTAGGCTTAGCCAGGACACGTGGCTCGACCCAATTTCCGGCCCGACCCAGACCTGTACCCGCGATGAGAAGTACGTCTCCTCCGAGTAACAATCTGCTATCTGATTCTCCACGCCTCGTCCCTTGTGAAACCCTACCTTGGACACGTGTATGCGTATGTTGTCCACGCTTTTATGTAATTCTCATGGAATCTAACGGAGTACTCAAACTGCACGACTACTTCGGCTTGTTGGTGCGACAAAGCGTAACGTAAGACAGCCTCTTTAGGCTCAACGAGCGGAAACTTGATGATCTTGTTGTGAAGCTCAACAATAGTTAACCCAAATCCAGATTTTAAGTAATTATGCTTCTGACGCCTCCCATGCTCATGAATCTCTAACTTCCAACGCACTATCCCATAAGTCCATCGGACAATCCCCATCCACATAATACTATTTAACTCTCTTCCAATTAAGATGCCTCTGAAATTCCAGTGAGATATGTTGAGCGTAACTTAACAACCATATTTGTAATTTATCTTCCAAAATATGTATCTCCATTGTTTGTTGAGGTGATACATCAAGTTACAAAACACCTTAATTCTGATTGGTAACCACGTTTGTTAATGGATTTTTGAGCGACTGTAGGAAAGCAGTTCTAGAGAATCTTAACTAATATTATAAGCTTTTGATGTTGTATAAATTTTTGACATTGTGTTAGTCTCGCTTAATTTAAACGAGAAACTAATTAATTTTGTTTTACTTTTATAACCTTTGAAAAAATAGAAAAAACGTTAATAGAATTAAATTCTTACCAACAGCTACATCAAGATAATAATTTTTTTAAATAGATTGAAAANAAATTATCAAAGTTATTATACTTATATTATAATTTTATGATCCTTAATTATATTTTGTAATTAGATTTTCATATGAA